AGTATTTCTTTATTTAACATTATATTTTGCTAATAAGTCTTATATGAGTATAATGTTCTCCAAATTAGAATTCCTCAGATTACATTGGACTCCCTACTTTTATTAGTTATTTAATTCTGCAGGTTATAATGGTAAGTAAAAGAAAAAACAAAAAAAGGCCGAATTGCATTTATACTATTAAAACAATATAGAAATTCCTGGCTGGACACAGTGGCTCATGCCTGTAATCCCAGCACTTTGGGAGGCTGAAGCGGGTGGATCACTTGAGGTCAGGAGTTCAAGACCAGCCTGGCCAACATGGTGAAACCCTGTCTCTACTAAAAATGCAAAAATTAGCCGGGTGTGGTGGCGGGTGCCTGTGGTCCCAGCTATTCAGGAGGCTGAGGCAGGAAAATCGCTTGAACCCAAAGGTTGGAGGTTGCAGTGAGCTGAAATGGCACCACTGCACTCTAGCCTGGGCAACAGAGCGAGGCACTGCCAAATAAATAAATAAATAAATAAATAAATATCCCCATGCGTATGGACATGATCTAAAAGGAAATAGTAATAAAAACAATGTTCAAGTGATTAATTATGAGTGATTAATTCGACATATTTTTGCCATATAAAGCAAATCAAGTCTGTAGGCATTGTCGGTGGTCTATGGGCAAGGCGGCATGCAAATATTCTAAGTAATACCCATTTTGAATTTTACATTGGGTTGCCTTTAATTAAAAAAATAATAATAATAAAGGAAAGGAATCAAATTCCATGTTCCACCTAAGAATGTCCTGAGACTGACAAAGCTCATTATTGACATGCTTTGTTATACTACATTTCAGTCTTAGAAAAAGAAGAAAAAAAAGGATGAAGGAGGGAACAGACCTGCATTCTGGGAATTGACTACTAATTAGCTCAATAATACTGTCTAAGTTACCTATCGTCTTGTGCCAGTTTCCTCAGCTGTACAAAGACTGGGCTAGACCAGCACTGTCTATTGCAGCAGCCACTAACCTACCACATGTGACCGGTGAGCATTTAAAATGTGACAAATTCAGGCCGGGTGTGGTGGCTCATGCCTGTAACCCCGGCACTTTGGAAGGCTGAGGCAGGCAGATCACATGAGGCCAAGAGTTCAAAACCAGCCTGGCAAACATGGTGAATCCCCATCTTTACCAAAAATAAAAAAAATAGCCCAGCATGGTGGCGGGCACCAGTAATCCCAGCTACTCAGGAGGGTGATGCACAAGAATTGCTTGAACCCAGAGGCGGACGGTGCAGTGAGCCAAGATTGCACCACTGCACTCCAGCATGGGCAACAGAGCGAGACTCTCAAAAAACAAACAAACAAACAAACAAACAAACAAAAAACAGCACCAACAACAAAAACTAAAGAAAATGTGGCAAATCCAAGTAGAGACGTATTGTAAATATAAAATTCCCACTAGTATACAAACTTAGTACCCCGAAAAAGTATTTAAAATATCTCATTAATAATACTTTATGTTATATTTTGGAATGATATCTTGAACACATTGCATTAAATATGTTAAAAATATCTTTGGTTTCTTTTTACTCTTTAATGTGGACACTAGAACATTTTAAATTATATATGTGGCTTGCATTATGTTTTTATTGGACAGTGCTGGGATAGATCTTATCTTCCAGCCCTTAACATTCTTATAGTTATCTTAAGCTTCAGAGGCACAGTCATTCAAGTTCAGAAAGCATTACACAGCATACAGTATATAAAATTGTTCCTTCTTTAGAGTCCACTAGGTGGCACTAGAGTTCAGGCCACAAGCTAGTAAGAGATTTAAAATTTGTACTTGCACTTTGAAAAATTATTTATTTATTATTATTTATTTATTTTGAGATGGACTCTCACTCTGTCACCCAGGCTGGAGTGCAGTGGCACGATTTCGGCTCACTGCAACCTCTGCTTCCCAGGTTCAAGCAATTCTCCTGTCTCAGCCTCCCCAGTAGCTGGGACTACAGATGCCGGCCACCATGCCCAGCTAATTTTTGTATTTTTAGTGGAGACGGGGCTTCACCATATTGGTCAGGCTGGTCTCGAACTCCTGATCTCAAATGATCTACCTGCCTCGGCCTCCCAAAGTGCTGGGATTACAGGCGTGAGCCACCGTGCCCAGCCTTAATTTTTTAAGAGACAGGGTCTAGTTCTGTCACCTAGGCTGGAGCACAGTGGCATGATCATGGCTCACTGCAGCCTCAAACTCCTGGGCTCAAATGATCCTCCACTTCAGCCTCGTTGGTAGCTAGGACTACAGGCATGTGCCACTATGCCCAGCTAACGTTTAAAAAAATGTTGGCGGGGGTGCTGGCAGGGTGCGGTGGCTCACACCTGTAATCCCAGCACTTTGGGAGGCCAAGGCGGTGGATCACTTGAGTCCAAGGGTTTGAGGACAGTATGGGCAACATGGTGAAACTTCATCTCTACAAAAAATACAAAAATTAGCTGGGCATAGTGGCGTGCATCTGTAGTCCCAGCTACTGGGGAGGCTGAGACAGGAGACTTGCTTGAGCCCGGGAGATGGAGGTTGCAGTGAACCAAGATCCCACCACTGCACTCCAGCCTGGGCAACAGAAAGAGACCCTGAATGGAAAAAAAATTTTTTTAATTATTATTTTTTTAATAGAGACGGGGTCTTGGTCTGTTCCCCAGGCTGGTCTTAAACTCCTGGGCTCAAGCAATGCTCCTGCCTCAGCCTCCCAAAGTGCTGGGGTTACAGGTATGAGCCACTGTGCCTGGCCTGTACTTGCAGTTTTGAGATGGAGTTTTGCTCTTGTTGCACAGGCTGGAGTGCAATGGCGCATCTCGGCTCACTGCAACCTCTGACCCCCAAATTTAAGTGATTCTCTTGCCTCAGCCCCCTGAGTAGCTGGGATTTCAGGCACCTGCCACCACGTCCAGCTAATTTTTTGTATTTTTAATAGAGATGGAGTTTCACCATGTTGACCAGGCTGGTCACAAACTCCTGACCTCAGGTGATCTGCCCGCCTAGGCCTCCCAAAGTGCTGGGATTACAGGTGTGAGCCACTGGGCCTGGCCTGTACTTGCAGTTTTCTAAATGAGCTGTGCATAGGCTCATCTCCATGCCTTTGCTCCCATTGTTCCCTCCACTGAGACACCTTTTCCTAAGTTGGCCAGCAGGCCTACAACCTACGCATTTTAAAAAATTGAGATCCTCTAAGAAGCTTTTCCTGAACATCCCTCTCCTGCCTACAAATAACTTTATGTACCCACTAGCCTGTATACATATTTCTATCACAAAACCATGACATATTATTTGTTCACATGCTTTCCCCCCACTACCTCGTGTACATTTTGAGGCAGGTAGTGGTTGAGATCCTCTAAGAAGCCTTTCCTGAACACCCCACTCCAGCCTACAAATAACTTTATGTACCCCCTATCCTGTATACATATTTCTATCACAAAACCATGACACATTATTTGTTCACATGCTTTCCTCCCACTACCTTGTGTACATGTTGAGGCAGGTAGCGATGAGGTATTAGCTGATGCCTGGCATCCAACTGGTGCTGTACACAATGTACCAGTCAGGATAGGTTAAGTTATACTTCAGTTAACAAAACCCCCAGATATCAGTAGCACAATTCCTGTGCTATGGTGCAGGTATCAGTCACCTTCCTGAAACAGGCCCAGTCCTTTTACTGGGCCTGTCAGATTGGACAGATTAAGGGCCCTGCGCCATGGCATCCTCATTCCAGGACCTACACTAATGAACAGTTCCATAGGAAGCATTGCTGGTCACTGCAGAGGGAAAAAGAGGGCCTCACAGATTTCTCCAGCACTGAAATGCTCTCATGTAGAAATAACGCAAGTCACTACCACTCACAGCTCATTGGCCAGAACTAATGACATGGCCCCATCCAACCACAAGGGGGTGGTGGCACACAGATCACTTCAATTAAACTAAACCACTTGGAGGAGAGACTTAAGGTATAGGCTCTTCAATTGAAGGTTCAAAAATACCCCAAATTAGAGGCATGAGAATAAGAAAACATATCAAATATAAGAATACGACTAGAAGAGGGTAACTACTGGCATATGAAACTCTGAAACCAGAGAGAAAAAGCCAAATATATTTTTGAGAGTAGTACTATGCTAACAAAGTAATAGTCATATAAACCCCGCCAGCCACAAGGGAACCAACTTACCATGTACCCAGAAGGTGGGAAACTGGAAATACTTGATAAATAACACTAGTGACAACCACAGTGCAATAAATGAAAATGATGCTTAACCCACAGGCTTCTAGGATAGTGACACTTTAAGAACACTCAGGAAGCAAAACTGGCTTAACAGAAGACACTATACTCCATTGTTTCATTTTAGCAAAAGCAAATCAAATTAATAAAATGATGCACATGCCCAGATGGGAGTGTAACTATATTGTCACAGGCAAAGGAGTGAATACAACTGTACATGGGACAGGGAGTACAAGAGTGGTGGATACAAGAAAAAAACAAAATAAAACAAAACAAAACAAAACAAAAAATCCCTCCAACTTTGAGTAAAGGCCAAGTTGCTTAGATCTGGGAGGGCAGAAATAATCATCTGTGTGGTGTAGACACTTTACCAACTGACTTTGAGAACAATCTGAATTAAGCATACTTTTTGGTGGGTAAAACATGCTGAAGAGTAGAGAAGAAAAAGCTCATGGCCTCCTGGACTGACAGTCCTCTTCGTCCCAGAGACTCAAGGAGAGGGACTGGAAGTGGTGATCACTTTTCTTCTTTACAGATCTAGTTATGACAGGCCTGCAATAGTTGTGGCCTAGACTCACACAACTGGTTGATACAGGGCAGACCCAACTGCCTCTGCCCCAACTTCAGAAGTCTATTGATAATTATGTTTAAACAAAGTGATTTAAGCACTTTCCTGCTCCAAAGTATTGAGATGTTAAACCTCAGGTCTAGAAATTAAGACCCTCCCTACCACAAATTTCAAGAACAGAAGTCAACATGACACACAGTAGAAATACATATTCCACTTTATTAATTAGAAAAAATCATTTAAGCCACATGGTGGCCACAATGTCCATAACTTGAGTAGGCTTTGGTATCCCACCTCCCCCTTCAGACCAATACACACTATGTTGGAGGAAGGACTTTAAAATGTAAAACAATGAGAAATGGGCACTGAACACTCCATCCTCTCCCTCCCAAGACCCCACCCACACACCTCTTCAACTGCTATCCAAACATGGAGGAGCTCTTGTGGAAGAGAGGCTGAACACCAAATAATTGAGCGTAAGACATTCAAGACTAAAGGAATCCCTGGCAGATGTTTAGGAAGCAGGGTTGAAAACATCACCATCTCCCAAAAGTTGAAGTTGGGACATCTAAGAGATGTCAGAGCCATACTGCTGAGAAAAGCACAGCATACACCAGACCCTGGGGTAAGCTTCTGCGAGGTAAGGGCGAGATCAACCTATCTCACGGCCATAAGCAATCCATTCCCACCAGTGCATTAAACAGGCCTTTTCTTTTCTTTTTTTTTTTTTGAGATGGAGTCTTTTGCTCTGTGGCCCAGGCTGGGTACAGCAGTACGATCTCAACTCACTGTAACCTCTGCCCCTGGGTTCAAGAAATTCTCCTGCCTCAGCCTCCCAAATAGTTGGGATTACAGGCCTCTGCCACCACACCCAGCTAGTAGAGACGGGGTTTCGCCATGTTGGCGAGGCTGGTCTCGAACTCCTGACCTCAGGTGATCCACCCACCTCAGCCTCCCAAAGTGCTAGGATTACAGGCATGAGTGACCGGCCTAAACAGGCCTTGTCCAGGCAATGAGCATCCAGTTAGGCAGGTCCTTCAAGGCCTAGTAATAGTTAGTTCTCTGGTTATACTGGTGCTCAGCCTGCCTGCTAGGAAGGGGATTCCCTTCTGGACATGTGTAGGTCAGTGTTCCAAAATATGGCCAGCACAGAAGGAGGTCTTATCACATGCTTCTGGATGGATGGTCTGGAAGGCCCTTGGTGGGTTCTGTATTGGCTAGTTGGCTTCTGGTGGTCCACGAGGTCCCAGGCGATGGGTTCTCTAGTAAGCCCTCTAGGGACTCCATCACTCTAACGAAGATGGAGAGTAGCGTCAGCACCACACCTAAGAGGTAGAGGTTCAACATATGCTTCATGGCTGAAAGGACCCTACTCTTCTGCAGAGAAGCACAGCTGCCTTCTCCTTCTGAAAGGCCTCTGAACCCTGAGGAAAAAGAGGAAAGGATTAATCTATAGCCTTTTAGGGGTATGCATGCATCCAGCCCTGACTCTTCTGTCCTCTCACAGGGCACAGGGACCAGGGGATGTTCTTGCACAGCAACTCTCCAAGAATATTTTACATTGCAAACTTCATGGCTACGGAATCAGTCTTGCTTCTTGGACTAATTCAAGAACACTTCTTAAAACACTGACTTTCTTAGGCCAGGAGCGGTGGCTCACGTCTGTAATCCCAGCACTTTGGGAGGCCGAGGCGAGTGGATCACCTGAGGTCAGGAGTTCGAGACCAGCCTGACCAACATGGTGAAACCCTGTCTCTACTACAAATACAAAAATTAGCCGGGTGTGGTGGCACATGCCTGTAATCCCAGCTACTCGGGAGGCTGAGGCAGAATCGCTTGAACCCGGGAGGCAGAGGTTGCAGTGAGCCAAGATTGCGCCATTGCACTCCAGCCTGGGCGACAAAAGCGAAACTCCGTCTCAAAAACAAACTTTTACTTTCTTGAAAACTTTGTTCCTGCAAGGCACAATGCACAACCCCTGTGCTACAGTGCAGGTATCAGTCACTTTCCTGAAATAGGCCCAGTCCTTTTGCAGGGGGGTGGTGGGTAATGGGAAATACAAGAACATGCCCCAGAGAAAGCAACCTGCCTAGAAGTCTCTCCTACATCACAGACTAGAGTTAACTAAACTTTCTGCAAGTCCAAATAACTCTTCGAGGGTCCAATCTATCAAATTCATTTATTTAACAAACATACCATGAATATCTTCAATGTGTTAGGTACCCTGGAATATACTAGGGCCACATGGAAAACCTTATAGACAAAGGGTAGTTACCACGCAACACGCTAAGTGTTGGGACAGGAAGGAGATGGTGAAGGTGCTTTGGGAGGGCATGGCAGGGATGCCTAACTCAGCACCGGTGGGCATGGGATGGGCCACGTGGATCCTAGTTAGGGCCACCTCAGGACAAAACAGGGCTGACGGCTGACTGGGGACCCTGGATGGCGGGGGGTAGGGGGTGAGGACAGAGGCTCCCGGCGGCGCACCCCAGCCCTGGAACGCGAGGCTGCTAGCCCGGTCAGCACTCTGGCGATGGGGGTGGGGAGCCGGGGAAGCCCACGGGCCGCTCACCTCCGGAGGAAGAACAGGGAGTGGGTCGCCGGCTGTAGCAGCAGGTCGTGCAAGAGTCGGGAGGAAAGTCGGTTACTAAGCAGCAGCGCAGAAGCTTCCCGCCACAAAACTCACTGGAGACAAAAGCGCGGTCACCCGCAGAGCGCCGAGCAAAGCCACCGAGCCTCCACCCCTTATAGCCGCGGGCCCGCCCCCCGAGGGCACGCGCAAGCGCACTGGAGGCCGCACGCACGCACCGGGACGCACACGCCAGGTCGCACGTCCGCGGCCCCGCCCCGCGGGCGACGGGGTTTGGGGACTGTCCGAGGTGCTCTCCCGCGGAGCTGTTTCCAAAAGTACACGTCGTGTGGTTTTGAGTCATTGTGTTCTGGAGTGAGACGAGGCGTATGTATTAATCTCGACTGCCATCTCTGCTGTAGAAAACATTTGAAGGAGTCAGAGAGCACATATCCCTCGTCCCCAGTAGGTGAAAATCACCGACGGCCTGGGTGTCGGTGAAGCCCTGCAGTGGAGGGTGGGTTCTTCCCCAGAGATTTCGGCAAGCGCTAAATTGTCAGAGAGCACCAGACCCCTACCCACTCGTTATTTTCTTCAAGGACTGAAGAGCGGGTTTTGTTTCACTTCATAGAGGTACCAAGATTCCAAATCCCGAGTTTCAGTTGCCATCGGTATCTCTGGAATGGTGAGGCCCTTGTGCACCACATTAAGCTCTGCAAGCTCTACTTTCTATGAGAGTTTGTCGTGTCGTTTAAGAAAACGTGAAATACTCCTGGCCCTGGTGTGGGATCCTAACTGCATATGGGCAAGTCATTTGATATTTAAATGGGCCTCAGTTTTCTCATCTATAATGAAGACATTGGCCACTTTTTTCTTCTTTGTTTTTCTCCTTTTTTTTTTTTTTTTTCTTGTTGTGTTGCCCAGGCTGGTCTCGAACTCCTGATCTCAAGCCATCCTCCCACCTCGGCCTCCCAAAGTGCTGGGGCTACAGGCGTGAGTCACTGCGCCCGGCCGCTAGATGATTTTTAAGGGTGCTTTCGGCTTGAACTAAAGAACCAGGAGGTCACAGACCAGCCTTATGTCCAGATTTGGGGGCTGGGCTGCCTTACTAAGCACCCCCCACCCACTCAGCCAAGACTGTGCGGTCTGTCTTGAGAGCACGCAACCGGGGATCTCCGAAAGTAGAGTCCCGGAGAGACACTGGGAATGGGGAGGACCCCCGGGAAGGGATGTACAGGCCGCGGAAAGGAAGGCCACTGGTGGCTTTAGAACTGGCGGTTCCGTGTACCCGGGTCAAGTTCCCGTGCCGGATGGGAAAGAACCCTGTGACTTTCCACATCTCAGCGAGCTCGGCGGGCTCTGCTGAACAAGAGCTGTTGGACGGGAAGGGAGGAGCCAATCCCCACTGCGACCTTTCTCCTCCTTTCCTGGCTGGCTGGCTGTGGTCTCTCGGGAATGAGGGGGTGGGGAAGCCGGGAAAGCAGAAGGTTGGGGCTGGAGGCCTGCTGGCAGGCAGGCAGACATTTGGAACCAACTTTCCTGCTCAGTCCGCAGAACTTTTGGTCCTTCGCTATACCAGAGTTTCGTCTGTTTTTTTGCTTGACTCTGTGACCCTTCTCTCACACTGTTATTAAATAGGTCTCAAGCTGCGAAATCAGTGCCAGATCCAAACGCCACTACTTTGCCAGGTGAAGGCCTTGGGCGAACCCTTTAACCTTCTTGTAATTTGGTTTCCTCAGCTGTTATGTGAGATCGTAACAGTCTTAGCCTGGATATTAAATGAATTAATCCATATAAAGCACTTAGAACAATGCCTGGCGCATAGAAAACATTCCATGAGTGTTAGCATTATCTGTATCATCAACTACAAAATTCCCAGTGAGGGGTTTTGCTCATTAGGAGCGTAGGCTTGGTGAATGAATGTGGGAATTCTACAATGACCCTTTGGGTTCTACTTAGTTTGAATTCTAAATTTATACTTCACACAGCTGGAAGAAGGGATGGGCACCTCTCCAACAATTCTTTCTCCCCATATTCACTGCCACTGTCTAAAGGTCATGCCAGTTGGAAATAAGAAGAATTTGGGTGAGGGCAGCTCTATGCTTTTCCATCTGTCAGCTACAAATGTAGCTAACTGCATCAGGATTTAGTCCTGCTTTCAACACCTTGGCCAGGCTAACTGACCCCTTTGAATTTTAGTTTCTTAATCTGTAAAATGAGGAAAATAATCTGTGAAACAGGGTTGTTGTGAGGGTTGGAAATAATGCACATAAAGAGTATGTCATGTATGCTCAATAAATAGTAGCTATTATTTTGCTGAAAAGTGTAAAGCCAGATTCTTGTTCTAAATAAGCTTGTCACCTGGTTGAGTAAACAAGACCTGAATAAGATAAGATAACTAACAACCCAAGGCAGTGTGGGGTAGAGCTTAGAAGTAAGTACCTAACTAGGGTAGTAATGTTTTGCTTGGGGAACTGGGATTTTAACATTCACTATGGTTATTTAAAAAAAAAAAAAAGAGCCGAGCGTGGTGGCTCGCGCCTGTAATCCCAGCACTTTGAGAGGCTGAGGCAGGCAGATCGCCTGATGTCGTGAGTTCGAGACCAGGCTGACCAACATGGAGAAACCCCATCTCTACTAAAAATATAAAATTAGCCAGGCATAGTGGGACATGCCTGTAATCCCAGCTACTCGGGAGGCCAAGGCAGGAGAATCACCTGAACCTGGGAGGCAGAGGTTGCACTGAGCCGTGATCAAGCCATTGCACTCCAGCCTGGGCAACAAGAGCGAAACTCCATCTCAAAAAAAAACGAGCGCTGAACCCGGGAGGCAGAGTTGCACAGCCGTGATCAAGCCATTGCATCTCCAGCCTGGGCAAATGGAGACAAAACCCGATCCAAAGAAAGAAATAAATAATTATTCAGTAATTGAGGAGGTGCAAGACTGGCGAATGCGCTTTACATGTATGCATGTTGCTTTTTAGATGTGTGGAGCTTAGTTTCACTTACCAGAGGCTGGATATAAAGAGTGGTAGAAATGTGTATCTTAGCTTACTATAACTCACTTAGAGGTCATTTACATTTCACACGCCAGCTTGAGTAGCTAAAAAAAAAAAAAAAAAAAAAAAAGAGAGTGGAAACAAAATAATCATTCTTCAAGTAACTGATATGTGCTGAACATTTTGCTAAATGCTTTACATGTATTATTTAATTTTTCTTCTTTTTTTTTTTTTTTAGATGGAGTCTCGCTCTGCCGCCCAGGCTGGAGTGCAGTGGCACGATCTTGGCTCACTGCAATCTCTGCCTCCCAGGTTCACGCCATTCTCCTGCCTCAGCCTCCCGAGTAGCTGGGACTGTAGGCGCTCGCCACCACACCCAGCTAATTTTTTGTATTCTTTAGTAGAGACGGGGTGTCACTGTGTTAGCCAGGATGGTCTCGATCTCCTGACCTCGTAATCCACCCACCTCGGCTTCCCAAAGTGCTAGGATTACAGGCGTGAGCCACCACTCCCGGCCTATTCAATTTTTCTAATGATGCTATGAGGTAGGTATTATTGCCTCTCTTCTTTATTTGTTGTTGTTATTGTTGTTGAGAAAGGGTCTCACTCTGTTTTCCAGACTGGAGTATAGTGGCATGATCACTGCTGACTGCAGCCTTGACTTACTGGGCTCAAGCTATCCTCCCACCTCAGCCTCCTGAGTAGCTGGGACTACAGGCAAACATCACCACACCCAGCTACTTTCTTTCTTTCTTTCTTTCTTTCTTTCTTTCTTTCTTTCTTTCTTTCTTTCTTTCTTTCTTTCTTTCTTTCTTTCTCTCTCTCTCTCTCTTTCTTTCTTTCTTTCTTTTCTTTCACTCGTTCTTTCTTTCTCTCTCTCTCTTTTCCTTTCTTTTCTTTCCTTTCTTTCTTTCTTTTTTTTTTTTTTTTTGTAGAGATGGGGTCTCTCCATGCTGCCCTGACTGGCCTCAAACTCATGAGCTCTAGCAGTCCTCCCACCTCAGCCTCCCAAAGTGCTGGGATTACATGTGTGAGCCACCGTACCCAACCTTCTTTATTTGTTAACTATGCTTTTTCCTCCAGAGGAAGAAGAGACTTTCTTCACCTAGTCTTTTACTCATCTTTCACATCTCAATTCAAACGTATTTCCTCTGGTCACCCTTGCTGACCCTCAGGCCCTGTTCCAGGCTCCAGTGGCAGGATAGACATTTCTCTCCCAATGTGTTACTTTGGCCTTAGTTGTATTAATGTCTGCATCCCTTCAAAAGCCTGAAAAGTCAGTGAAAGGAGTGTTTGGTCTGATTTTGTTTCCATTCCATCTCCAGCAGCTAGCACGAAATAGTAGGCTTTTGATAAATATTGATTGATTGAAGGAATAAATGAATGAATATTTTACCCAGTATCTTCAGTGAGTACCTATTGTTTCACCAAGGAAAGGTAGATAAGGGCCCCAAGACAAGCCGTTTTCAGGCTCTACCTCCTCCTTGGAACTGCAACCAAGGAAAGCTTTTTATAAGCTGCCCTTCCCCCAAAGCCCCTAAAAAGAAGTGATTCTGAAGTCAACCCACACAAGAGTACCATACTAAGAACACAAGTATTTTCACAAATTTGATCTTATCATCCAGTGTTCATTTAAAGAACATGTACTTACATTTCTGGTAAGTATAAACTGGTACATTCTGTATGGAAATCAATTTGTCAGTAATTGTTTCCCAGACCCCTGCTTTTTCTAAAAAAAACACTTCAAGACCATTGCGGTGTTAAAAAAGACCACTGAGTACCATTTGGCAATATCTGTAAAAAGAAAAGCATACACATGCCCTTTAGCCCAGAATTCCTTTTTTAGGATTTATCCTTACAGACTTCCACATGTAGAGAATGGAGTATGTAAAGTTGTTGTTACAGCACTGTTTGTGATAGTAAAAGACTGGAAAAAACAGCCCATTGATAGAGAACTGGTTAAATAAAAGGTGGTGCATTCATTCAGACAGTGAATTACCATAAAGCCAGAAAAAAGAGATAAGTTCCGTACTTATCGACAAGATCTCTACAATATATTGTTAAATGAAAAGGGTATATAGTATGTGTACGGTATGCTACAGTTTATGTTAAAATGAACATAAAAAATAGAATACAATGAGACACCACCTCACACTCACTAGGATGGCTATAACACAAACAAGCAAAAAAACCCAGAAAAGAACAAATGTTGATGAAAATGTAGAGAAAATAGAACCCTCATACGTTGCTGTTAGAATGTAAAATAGTGCAGCTGCTTTAGAATAGTTGCTCAAAAAGTTAAACATAGAATTACCATATGATCCAGCAGTTTTGCTCCTAAATATATATCCAGGTGAACTGAAGATGTATGTTCACACACAAATGCTTATACACAAATGTTCATAGCAGCATTATTCATAATAACCAAAAAAGTAGAAACAACCCAAATATCCATCAACTGACTAAAGGATAAACAAAATGTGATACAATGGAATATTATTCAGCCATAAAAAATGAAGTATTGACACATGCTATAATATGGATGCACCTTGAACACATTATGCTAAGTGAAAGAAACCAGAAACATTAGGGCACATATTGTATGATTCCACTCATGTGAAATGTCAGAATAGGCAAATCCAGGGCCGGGCATAGTGGCTCCCACCTGTAATCCCAGCACTTGGAGGATCCCAGCACAGAGACCAAGGTGAGCAGATCACTGGAGGTGAGGAGTTTGAGACCAGCCTGCTAACATGGTGAAACCCTGCCTCTACAAAAAAAAAAACAAACAAAAATTAGCCGGGCATGATGGTGCTGACCTGTAGTCTCACCTACTTGGGAAGCTGAGACAGGAAAATTGCTTGAACCCAGGAGGCAGAGGTTGCAGTGAGCTGAGATCACACCACTGTACTCCAGCCCGGGCAACAGAGTGAGACTGTCTTAAAAAAAAAAAAAAAAAAAAGGGAAAATCCACAGAGACAGAAAGTAGGTAAGTGGTTGCCAGGGGCTGGTGGAGAGGGAACTGGGGAATGACTGCTAGTAGGTACAGGGTGGTTTTTTTTGGTGTGTGGGCTGTCCATGAAATGTTCTAAAATTAGACAGTGCTGACAGTTATACAATTATACAAGTCTGTGAATATACTTAACCATTGAATTGCATACTTTAAAATGGTGGATTTTGATATGTGAACTATATCTAAATAAAGTCATTTTTTTTAAAGGAGGGCAAGTTGAAGACATCTTCAGATGACAAACAAAAGCAGAGTTAGCTGCCATAGGCCCTTACCATGGAAACTACTGAAGAATGAACCTAAGACACAAGAAAACTGAACCCAAAAGGAAATAGGGAAATGCAAGAAAAAATGGTAAGGAAATATTTACAAAACATATGGATGTATCTAAACAAATTATGACTATGCAAAACTATTTTTAGTAATAATGGTTGATTTGGAAAAGTAACAATAACAAGATAAACTTAAAAATTGGTAAACATTTCAGATGGGAACAGTGAGCAAAGATAAAATTTAATATGTTTTTATTTGGAAGGAAAGTAAATATTGATTAATTTTAGACTTTTTTTTTTTTTTTTTCAGACAGAGTCTTGCTGTATTGCCCAGGCTGTAGTACAGTGGTATGATCTTAGCTCACTGCAACCTCCACCTCCTAGGTTCAAGCAATCCTCCTGCCTCAGTCCCCCTAGTAGCTGGGATTACAGGCATGTGCCACCATGCCCAGCTAACTTTTATATATATATTTTTAGTAGAAACAGGGTTTCACCATGTTGGCCAGGCTACTCTTAAACTCCCGGCCTCAGGTGATCCATCCGCCTCAGCCTCCCAAAGTGCTGGGATTACAAGGTGTGAGCCACCACGCCTGGCCTTTTTTTTTTTTGAGACAGAGTCTTGGTCTTGTCACCCAGGCTGGAATGCAGTGGTGCAATCTCAGCTCACTGCAACCTCTGCCTCCCAGGTTCAAGTGATTCTCCTGCCTCAGCCTCCCGAGTAGCTGGGATTACAGGCGCCTACCACCACGCCCAGCTAAATTTTGTATTCTTAGTAGAGATGGGGTTTCACCATGTTGGCCAGGCTGCTCCCAAACTCCCGACCTCAAGTGATCTACTTGAAGTGATCCACTGCCTCAGCCTCACAAAGTGCTGGGATTACAGGTGTAAGCCACCATGCCCAGCCAATTTTAGACTTTTAAGTCCGTATATTAAAATGTTAAGAGTTGGTTGGGCACAGTGGCTCACGCCTATAATCCCAGAACTTTGGTAGGCCAAGGCGGGTGGATTAGTTGAGGTCAGGAGTTTAAGACCAACCTTATTAAATAAATAAATATATTTATATTTATTATTATTTTTTATTTTTTTGAGACAGAGTCTCACTCTGTCACCCAGGCTGGAGTGCAGTGGTGTGATCTCAGCTCATTGCAACTTCCGCCTTCCGGGTTCAAGCGATTCTCCTGCCTCAACCTCCTGAGTAGCTGATCTACAGGTGCCAGCCACCACACCCAGCTAATGTTTGTATTTTTTTTAGTAGAGATGGGGTTTTACCACGTTGGCCAGGCTGGTCTCAAACTCCTGACCTCAGGTGATCCACCTGCCTCAGCCTCCCAAAGTGCTGAGATTACAGGCATGAGCCACCGCGCCCGGCCAAAAAAAATTAAAATGTTAAGGGTAGCTCTTCCTCTTCCTTCCCTTCCTGTACAATTCAGTCTTCAAGCCAGTAGGTAAAATAGTACAAAGTGTCTACAATGAAGAGGAGAACCGGTGGCCCAGAGCGGAATGTCACTTTTATTCACTATTATGTCCTCAGTGTCTGAAACATGTTCACTCAATATTTGGCTTGCTCTGTCACTTCTTCTGGACTCTGATCAAATGTTGTTTCTCAGGGAGGCTTTCCTAATCATTTCATGTACAGCAACACTCAACACCTACTCTTCTCCTTTACCCTGTTTTATTTTTTCTTCATAGTACTCAACACTATTTTATATTTATTTGTTGATTATCTGTCTTCCTCCGCTAGAATGTAGCTCCTTGAGAACAAGGACTCAGACTATTGTGTCAATTACTGTGTTCCTAAACCCAGAACAGTGCCTTCCATGTAGTACATGCTCAACAAATATTGTTGAATGAATGAATCATGTTTGTGTATCTGAGATATTTTATTTTATTTTATTTTATTTTTATTTTTATTTTTTTTTGAGATGGAGTCTCGCTCTGTCGCCCAGGCTGGAGTTCAGTGGCCAGATCTCAGCTCACTGCAAGCTCCGCCTCCCGGGTTCACGCCATTCTCCTGCCTCAGCCTCCCGAGTAGCTGGGACTACAGGCGCCTGCCACCTCGCCCAGCTAGTTTTTTGTGTTTCTTTTTTTAGTAGAGACGGGGTGTCACCGTGTTAGCCAGGATGGTCTTGATCTCCTGACCTCGTGATCCGCCCGTCTCGGCCTCCCAAAGTGCTGGGATTACAGGCTTGAGCCATCGCACCCGGCCCTGAGATATTTTATAACCGGAAGGAACATGCCAAGCATGGTGGCTGACGCCTGTAATCTCAGCACTTTGGGAAGCTGATGTGGGAGCATTGCTTGAGCCTAAGAGTTCAAGACCAGCCTAGGCAACATGACAAGACCCTGTCTCAAAAAAAAATTAATAATAATAACGGAGCAGCTGATCAATTTCTAATTCTATCTATTGATGTTTGTTGCACAGCATTTTTACAATGATCATCTCTGGGTGATATGATAATGAACTCCTTTTTTCCTCCTATTTTCTCCCATCTGCATCTGTTACTTTTACCATCAAAGAAAAAAATTAAAATTTACTAACATTTTGTAAATTTACAGCTTGAGCAACATGGTGACAATGAAGGGAAAACAAACACAGGAGTTTGGATGGGGAAATTGGGTCAAGAGCTTGGAGCAGCTAGTGGGAAGTGGGAGTGGAGTGGGAGGGCCTGGCAGTATGGCACCAGAGGAAGGTGCCCACAGAGAGTTGGCCCTGGAAGATGGGCAGAGGGCAAACAAGGCAAGCAGTGACTTCTTCACCTCCCACCTGAGCCAGCAACCTAAATTCTGAGTCTGGTTGTGGCACTAACTAACCACTCACCTGGGGCCAGTCACTTCTTCAGGCCTCAGTTTCCTCATCTGTGAAGCACAGGGCTGAGGGAGACAAGCTGTCTCTCTCAGAGCCTTTCTACCTAAGAGGCGGGTGGTCCTAGAACCTGCACTGAGAAGCTGTGGTGTGGGTGGCGGACTCCCACCAACACAGCAGGCCTCTGCTCTCAAGCTCTGTTTGGGAAATACTGGATGAACAATGTGGAATAGGAGAAAAACAGTATTCAAAACTATATGGGCCCTTTAAGTTAACCATGATAAATACATAGAGAGAGAGAGAGAGAGACTGACAGTATATCTACTCTTAAATAGTAACATTTTTTACTGGGCAGGGTCCTCTTATTCTTTAGTCACAATAAGCACAGTTCCTGGGGCCTAGAGACTTTTCAAGGACTCTCAAACATATTTGAGATATAGAAAACAAAATATATTGACTTCCAAAAAATTTAAATGACAAAACTAAAATTCACAAACATTTAATCAAAGGTCTGCAAAATATATGTTAACTAGACAGTTTCTTTTTTTTTTTTTTTTTTTGAGACTGAGTTTCGCTCTGTCACCCAGGCTAGAGTGCAGTGGCACGATCGCGGCTCACTGCAACCTCCACCTCCCAGGTTAAAGCAATTCTCCTGCCTCAGCCTCTTGAGTAGCTGGGATTACAGCTGCCTATCACCACGTCTGGCTAATTTTTTTGTATTTTTAATAGAGATGGGGTTTCACCATGTTGGCCAGGCTGGTTTTGAACTCTTGGCCTCAAGTGATCCGCCCGCCTCAGCCTCCCAATGTGCAAGGATCACAGGCATGAGCCACCGCGCCTGGCCAACTAGACAGTTTCAACTAGCATAGTAACTTCAGATGTGAGATGTGGGCTCATCTTTACATGATGGAGTATCCTATAGGAGGCATATCCGGGGCCTGTGGAAGTAAAGTGAGAATGGGGTGGATTATGGAGGTTTGATAGTTTCCTGAGTTTCAATTTTTCTACTATGAGCATGTATTATGAGAAGAAGAAAAAGTATTCAATGAATGTTTTGAAAAAGTATGTAAATAAAAAAACCTTAGGAAAGATTTGGGGTGAAGAAGTCCCTATTTTCTCATCTCAATAAAGGCTTGGGGACAGTCCTCTGTCTTATGGAGTTAATTAGAATCAAAAAGGAAACTCACTGGAGACATGTATTTAAGAGTTTACTCATTCTGTGCTGTTCTCCAAGTTATTTCCATTTAGCAGTTTAGGATAAATCTGTGTATTGACACATTGCTCTCTTTTTCCTTCATGGAACTATAAAATCATTGAATGTTAGAACATAGAGGGAGCCTTCCTCCTTGCTGTCACCTTCTCTTGGTGGTCACAGTGGGCTCTCTGAGCATGGGAGAGCCCAGGTTAGCCGCAAAAGGGCCAGGGTCAAATGAGCTCCATTGCTGCCTGGTAGATGGCGGAGGTGCTACCAGAGGAGACAGGTGTCTTGCTCCTGGCAGGGAGGCAGAGTCTGAGTCTATGGGTTGGGAGACAATGGGGTTCTCCTGGTGTCTATGCTGTTGTCATTCACAATTACAACAGCTGCTCTTCCCTCTGCTGCATGTGTTCACTGACACATGCCCTACCTATACACACATGTGTGTGCACATGGGCACATTTTCTCTCCGCCTAGACAGCTGGCACCTCTCCCCCAGACACAGATGCCCAGACATTTCTGCCGCCAGCCAACTCACTCCGTGGCTCTGCTCCAACTCGGCTAGAGCAGGGCAGGGGGCTGTTCCTGCTGCCTCTTATCTTAGCCAAGAAGGACAGTGGCTGCTGTCGGGAGAGGGGGTAATGAGGGGTAGAGGACAACTGGTCTTTGAGGAGACTCCCACCCTTTTTTCCTTCTCCCAGTTACCCCTCCTCCTTTGGCTAAAGGACTGGAGAAAAAGCTGTTCAGGGCTGGGCGCAGTGGCTCAAGCCTGTAATCCCAGCACTTTGGGAGGCCAAGACGGGCAGATCACAAGGTCAGGAGATCGAGACCATCCTGGCTAACCCGGTGAAACCCCGTCTCTACTAAAAAATACAAAAAACTAGTCGGGTGAGGTGGCGGGCGCCTGTAGTCCCAGCTACTCGGGAGGCTGAGGCAGGAGAATGGTGTAAACCCGAAAGGCGGAGCTTGCAGTGAGCTGAGATCCGGCCACTGCTCTCCAGTTTGGGCGACAGAGCGAGACTCCGTCTCAAAAAAAAAAAAAAAAAAAAAGAAAAAGCTGTCCAGTCAGAATCCCTCCTGTCAACAATGAAGGCTCAAAGCCCTACCCACACCGAACCCCTCAGCCCCTCGCCTAACAGATCCTGAAAGTCAGCTATAACTGTTGGTGTCTCAGGCTCCCAGCTCTCCCATTTGACCCTGAAAACCTCCCCAGTCCCCCATCCTGGGTTCTTTTGCATATTGGAGTATCACATGCTGATACGGCGTTCGATGTTTATACCTCTCAGTTTATAAGCATGTTCCGTCTAGAGAATGTCTTGTATATTTTCTTAAAAGTTCTTACCAGGGACTCCAAAGGGGGTCCCTTTTGAAA